ATTAAAACCTATAAAATGTTTATGAACAGAACCAGTAGTAGTTTTATTTAATTTGAAGGTTTTTTTTTATCTTTGCTGTAATTTTGTTTGTCCAGAATTTATTCCAATAAATAAAAATAAAAACGTCAAACTCTTCTGTTTAATACAACGCAAAATCATCTACTTAGTTATTTACATACATTTTTATGTACTTTATTTTAAGGTTAAAGACTAAGAAAAAGGTCCACTTTTTTATAATGAATAAAAATTGTGATTTTTGTTCTAAAAATGGAACAGATTTTGTGAGTAAAATAATAAATAAAAACGTCTGTTTTTTTTTAACCTTGATTATTCTAGATTTACACTTATTTTTCTTTTTATCTGAATGTTTTTTTTACACTGTTTAAAAAACACCAGTCTAAAAACAGAAAACTGCGCCTGGCTCCAGTCGTCCCAGGTGACAGGTGGTCTTACTGTCCAGGTTTTCTGGTTTCCAGGTGTTTTCCTCCACCTCCACCACTGGAAACAGGTCTGGTCTTTCCTCGGACCCCCCTGAGCCGGTGACCGTCCCGTGAACCCGCCTGTGACCCCAAACTGACCGGCTCTGTCCCCGTCCTGATCGCAGACCACCACATGGGCCCGAGCCGACACTCGGCTCTCTGTTTTCTGCCTCGTTTATCAGCTGAAGAGACGTCCTGACAGGCGCCGCAGATAAAGAGACAAACAGATAAAACGTCTTTTAGACCCCCGGATCAAAGATAAGACATCTCTCTGACCCCCGGGCCGCTTAAAAAAAATAAAAAAAGGCAGCAGGTTGAGATGAGAGGAAGGTTTATGATCAGGGACCTGGTTTTAGCTATTACATAAGTTCTTACACACAAACTGCATCATTCTTACTGATACTAATCAGAGCAGCTTCTGCTTTTACTTTTCACTTTCACAATAAAAGCTCAACTCCTATTCCTCATAAATACACAATCAAAAAAAAATGTCAATAAAAACTCAAGCAATGATTTTCAGACCTCATATTATTCACAACAAAACCCAGTAAACATGTTTAAAATAAAAAAAATTATACTTAAAAAAATAAAACACACCATTTTGACTTTGGCAGCAACACGGTTCAAAAACAGTTGAATTAAAAGTTAAAACTGGAGGATTTTACAACTAATTACTTTAATTGGTAACAATCAGTCATAGGATTTCATATAAAAAAGAGCATTTTAGAAGTAAAGATGGGAAAAGGTTCCCCAGTCTGTGAAGAACTGCGTATAAAAACAGTGGAGCAATTTCAGAATAAAGTTCCTCAGTGGAAACACAGTTCATGACCTCATCAACAGGTTAGAAGAATCTGTAGAAATCTTTGAGCTCAAAGGATAAAAGTCGATGTTGGACGGTCAGGATCTTCAGATCCTCAGGGTTCGCTGCATTAAAAACAGGTCTGGTTCAGTTCTGGGCATCGCTATGCCAACCATAGATTCTGCTTAAAGCTCTATCATGCAAATAAGTGTATGAATGCCATCCAGAAACATCTTTTCAAAATCCTTTTTAGAAACCACAGATGCATTAAAGAGAAGAGGGGCCATGGTCAGTTATGTTTTTGGTCATTCGTTTTTCATTTTAAAAACAGATATCGAATAACAGGAAGTTTAACACTGTCGCCACGCTGCGGCGTCACTCTCCTCAGCTGTTGGAGAAAGGCTGAATGTGCTAAAAGCAGCCGAGGCTCCAGGAAGCAGCTTGAATCATCTGTGATATACAAACTAAACTAAGCTAAAACCTGTTAAGAAATGTAAAACCAGTCGGCTAAAGTTTATTTATTTTTATTTACAGGCAGCCGCCTGTTATTAAAGGTGTTTAACTAGCTCCGCCTTAAACAGTCTGATGTCATCAGACTGTTTAACTAGCTCCGCCTTAAACAGTCTGATGACAGACTGTTTAACTAGCTCCGCCTTAAACAGCCTGATGTCATCAGACTGTTTAACTAGCTCCGCCTTAAACAGTCTGATGACATCAGGCTGTTTAACTAGCTCCGCCTTAAACAGTCTGATGACATCAGACTGTTTAACTAGCTCCGCCTTAAACGGTCCGATGACATCAGACTGTTTAACTAGCTCCGCCTTAAACGGTCCGATGACATCAGACTGTTTAACTAGCTCCGCCTTAAACGGTCTGATGACATCAGACTGTTTAACTAGCTCCGCCTTAAACGGTCTGAT